TCCCCAAGCAGGGGCTTGCGGTGAGACCCCGGCAGCTTCCCCAGCTCCCGGGAGGCCGGCGGCACGTTCAGTTGGGCGGTTTTTAGGCCTCCGTGAGGATGTGCCTTTATTCCGGAGGATTTAGGGCTCCGGCTGTTGCCAGCTCCGCTGTGGCTGTCACTGCGCTTTGAAGGGCTGTTTCCTCCCGATTGCCCGGCAAGCTGGGAATAATGGCAGAAAATAAACTGGGCAGAATAAAGCCCTTTAAGTGTCTGGAAAGCGCAGCTCAGCTGTGAAAAGGCTCCTCTGTTCTGGATTTGGCACAGCGCGGTGTCAGGTCACGGTGAAAGCCCAGCTCGGCCCGACCGTTGCCAACAACTTGTTTCCGAAGCGCACCCTTCCCCCTCCGGCAAGGCTCCTGCTCTTGACATTCAGCCGGGCGAGTCGCGGGGGGTTTTAAGCGCTAATATTAAATGACCTTTCAAGTTCCTGGGGATTCTTCCAAACCCTCGTTGCTCAACAATTTCCTGTTTTAATGGTGGAAAAACACCGCCTCCTACCTCCGGCGAGGAAACCGGATCCGTTAGGTGCGCCCAGGCCCGCTGTCCTCCTCTTCCCGAGGGACTTGAATAAACTTCTTTCCGTACCAAAGTTATACCCGATAGCCGAGGCGAGAGACCCAGCGCGCCCCTGGAGATAGTTTCCTCCAGGACAGCGTGAGGGAGGCGGCTGAAGTTCAGACAACGACTTTCGCTGCCATCCAGCTTGGACCGTGTCGAGGTTTGACTTGCAGCTGCTGCCTTGGAGGCTTAAAATAATTATGCAAATGACAGGAGAGGGACAGAAAAAAAGCCCCATTGGAGCAGTCTGGTTTGTTCTTTTATTGAGCAGTTGCTCTCCGTGGTGTCAACTATCCGCAGAGGCGGCAATTCTGTTCTTGATAGGGCACCACCATCTTTAAAGGAGCTCGCTCTCCCAGAATTACTATTTTTTATGGTTAAAATCTGTGGTTTCTGCCTGGTAAGTGGTTAGATAGCCGCGCTTCCCCTTGTCCCAGGACCGCGGCGGAGCCTGACTCACAGGAAGACGGGCCGGCAGCCCCTCGTCCCACGGGTGAAAGGGGAAGCCTCGGCCTTTGCTCTGGGAGCCGAGGCCGCGCCGTGGTGCCGCAGGCTCAGGTCGTTTAAACGCCCTGGGATCCCGAGGGGAGCAGCCGTGTGGGATCGCCCCAAGGTGCTCCCGCCTGACGGGCATTTGCTTCTTTTCTGGGTACAAGCGATGGGTGCCAAGGCCTTTTTTTTTTCCCAAGGATGGCTGAAGGCATCGTTCAAAGATGAAATTTATCCTCTTTGACGTTTTCTGTTTGAGCTGGGGTCGCTGTGAAGAGGGCTTCCCCGTGTTCACGGCGCGGGAAGCACCAGAGCAGTTGCGCTCTGCTTCCGTGCTGAAGCAGCCGTCGCTGTCTGCAGAGCAGCAGCGATGAAAAGCTCCAGGTTCAGGGGCTCTTGGGCTGCCCGAGGGCAGGGGGGTGCCGCTGGGTTACGTCCTCTCTAACCTGGGAGTCGTGCTGCAAATTAAGTCGTTGCTTTCTCCTTCCCGCAGCGGCCTCTCGGTGCTGTTACGAGTCAAGTACAAGTTGCGGAGGCACCAGAAAGCCAAAAGCACCGTCCCCAAGATGTTCCAGGACGTTGTCCGCAGGCACCCCGACAAAGTGGCCCTGATTTACGAAGCCACCGGCGAGCAGTGGACCTTCAGGAGGCTGGACGAGTACTCCAACGCCGTGGCTAACTACTTCTACCAGCAAGGCTTCCGGCTGGGGGACGTCATCGCCATCTTCATGGAGAGCCGCCCCGAGTTTGTCGGCCTCTGGCTGGGGATGGCGAAAATCGGCATCGAGGCGGCTCTCATCAACTTCAACTTGCGCCTGGACTCCCTGGTGTACTGCGTGACGGCCTCGGGCGCAAAAGCCGTGATCTTCGGCGGGGAGCTGGCTGCGGGTGAGTCGCATGGGCGCTCGTCCGCCTGACGGGCCCCTCCCGAGCCCTTCGCTCGGTCCTGAAGAAGGCAGAAATGGGGAAAACTGAACCCCAGAAGGCAGCTGGCGGCGTTAGGAGCTAGGGAGGGTGGTAGATCTCCTGCCCACGGAAGGTGGAAGCGTCTGGTTGGTACCTGAGGCCGAAAGAGGAGCGGTGGTTTGATGGAGCCGCCAGTGGCTCCCGTGCATCTGCCTGGTTTGGTGGGGCCCCAGCTGAGCGGGCTGGGTTGCTCCTGTTCCCTGGGGTCTGCGGCAGGAGGCTCGTGCCTCGCCAAGGAGCGGCGGTGCGTGCCACCAGGCGTGTCCTCCTCTCGCTGTGTTAATCCTCTTTGCTCTACGCCGCGCTTTCTGCTGCAGGGTGGGTTTGTCAGTGGATGCTGGTTTTAAAGACGCCCCTGCTGCTCTCAGGAGCTCTGTTCCGATGTTTAGTGTTAGATCTGGGGGTTTATTATTCCGAATCGTCTCCTTGAAACCGTTCTAGATTATTTGAAGGTCATGGCGTGGTCGCGGGGAGAGGGGATGTCGTGGAGTTCCCTAGTTAGGGGCTTTACCGGGCCCGGGTCAGCCTGACCGCCCCAGTGGGGGGCACGTTAAGTGTTTCAGAGGAGTCCCTGGTTCTTCAGGTGCTGCTGTGGTTTTGGGGCGCGATAGGACGTCACACAGACCGGTTTTGCCGCTGCCCAGAGCGTTGTGTTTGTTGCGAAAGCGCCTCGGTTTGTCCTGCAGCGATCGCGGAGGTGAACGGGATGTTGGGGAAGAACATGGCGAAATTCTGCTCTGGGGACTATAACCCGGCTGTCGTTCCCGTGGACACCAGACACCTCGATCCTCTCCTCAGTGCTGCGGCGAAGTCGCCCCCGGCTCAGACTCCGGCCAAAGGTTTAGACGGTAATTTTGCCCACGAGTGTTATTTCTCAGCGTGATGTGTGCGAGCGCTGGACTGGGTGACAGCGAACCGAGAACGCTAAGCAAGACGGGGGGATTAAATCAACCTGGTTTGGTCTCACAAATAGAAGAAAGGAGGAAAAAAGAGGGGAAAAAAAAGAAGATCCTGGTCCAGGGTACTTTGGGTTAAGTTTCTCACTGTCTGAGGCTCCCAAGCTCCCCGTGGCTGATGTGTTTGGTACCTGAAGGAGGGAGGTTGGTGCTTTCCCGAAGACAACCCGGCCGTTACGGGAGAACAGCCGGTGGGACGCGGGTGGGGGGAAGCAGGCGGCGTGCCAGGACTTACCCCACGCTCTCCGCGTTGGTGTCGGCCTTCGCCGCTCTCCCCTGCGCTGTCACCGGCTCAGAGCCTCAAGCACAAACCAAACCCCGTGGGGATTTTCTCGGGCCATTG